GAATGGTCCTGGTCTTCCTTTAGCATCCTTTTAAACATTGGTGACATCGTATGTTTCACTTCTCTGTAGTAATGAGCATAGATGACTCCGTTGTTGTCATAGCTACTACCACCAATTATGTCACTCGTGACAATTGCTGTTGGTGCCTGAAGTCTCCAATATTCCTAGAAGCATGTGGTTATAGCTTTCATTTGACGGAACAACATATCACATGGAAGTATCCTGTTCTGCCCAATCTTGAGCTCCCAAATGATCTCTATTGGTTTCAGAAGCTCACCTTTCTCCCTCTAGGGGAGTTTATTAGCCATATAGTTGGTCATTAACACCTTCCTTGTAGTTCTAGATAGCTGTGATTGATTGGCTTTATACCCAAGTAGTACTTCCATTTTTAAGAGACAATGGTCAGTGGCAAGATTCAATTCCAAAAATCGGCGACAATATAGAGGCCTTTCAGAGACCACCCCACTTAGCATTGGAACTTCTAGATTATAAAATCCTCATGCTTTGCTTGCTGGAATTCAAATTGAGTGGGATAACTTGTTCAACAGCTTGACAACTTCTGAAAAGAAGTGCTCTTCTCTGTACCTTAAAGCCAAAACAAGATTCTAGACATGACTTTTCACATGCAGATGTAAAGGCAGGGTATTTGAGATATATAGTCTGGCCTTATATCCCTAACCTTCTGTTTGTATCCATTTTTAGTGGCTTGAGAACTCCAAAACATCCTGTCCTGATATTTATCTGTGTTTGTTGCAGTTGCAAAAATAATTAAATATCGGAAAGTGGAACACAGTGTTTCATGTCCTTCTCTGGCTCCTACTTCTATTTCTGTTAATCAGTTTCAGAATCGGTTGAGGAAAAAAAAGATGTACAGAATTTTAAGACTTTGAATAAGATATTATACCCTGTGGTAAAGAAGATGATTACACTTCTTTCAAAAAAAGATCATGTTTCTGTCTTCTGTTCCATTGTTACAATGGGAGTGTAAACGCTTACATATGTTATACCTACAGAGAATTCTTCAACCATTTGAAATTTTTTTTTTGCTTTACAAAGATAATCATCTGCCTCATCTCTGTTCTTCCTAGTAAAACTAGAAATAAATAAGGACAGTCTCTTTCACCTAAATAAAACAGACCTTTATTCTGTCTTGTCTTCACTCACCAAAATTCTGGTAATCTGATGGACACCTGTTCTTTGTCAAGGACAGAGTTTGTGGAGGTCAATAGTCATAAAGAAAAAGTATGGTAGTTCCAAATGTAAACCACAAAAGGACTCCATACCTTCTCGACAATAATGTAGTAAAATACAATAGATTTACACTAGTATAGGTGACATTAAGGTCTTAAATGATTCTTACCATCTTCTGTGTAGTTCCTTAGAGGAGATACTTCAGAAGACTGTGGACATTTTTACCACTTGGAATTTTTTTATCAGGATGGAGAAATGGACCAACGGTCTTTCAACTTTATTTAGTATTTCAACATCAGAAATCACTTACAGCTTATATATATATAATGTCTTCATCTTCTGTGTAGTTCCTTAGAGGAGATACTTCAGAAGATTGTGGATATTTTTACCACTTGGAATTTTTTTATCAGGATGGAGAAATGGACCAACGGTCTTTCAAATTTATTTAGTATTTCAACATTAGAAATCACTTACAGCTTATATATATATAATGTCTTCATTTTATGTGTCGTTCTTTTATATTTCATCTCTTTCATTGCGATTGTTGTTGTAAAATAAATAAAGTAACCATTCACTTGGCACAGATAGCAAGCTTGGGTTTCCCCCACAAACACTCAGCCAACAACAACAATTCTATTTGCTTTTTTATACTAAAAACTTACTGTACTTGATTATTTTAAATCTTAGTTCATTATGTTTCAGTTCACGCCTTAAACACAAGTATATTTAAAATATTTTTGAATTTTGAGTTTAGTTGTATTGTCGTTATTCTGAGTTTATTTTCAGATAATCTTTAAGTATTTATTTTAGTTACATAAATTCATTTATGTTGTTTTATATTTAATTTTGTTTGGGTTAATTCATTCCACGTTTTATTTAATTTTATATTATGAGAACGTTGCTGTTATTACATTCACTTTTTAGGTTTATTTCATTTTAATTAGTTTATATCAGTTGGTACTTAATTCAGCCATTTAATGTGAAATGATTCAGGCCTAGGAAGGCTCTGAGGTAAGGAATAAGAAGGTAGTTAGGCAGTCTAAGATTAGAAAATTTTGCCCTGGTATGGTTATAGTAGAGGTACATTTACATTCAGGTATATTTATTAATATTATTCCTGGACGTTTTCGCGTAGATCTGTAATTGGTTAACAACTTTGTGAACAGGATGGAAGAATATACACCTCACACTTGTTTGGTTAGGTTGTTAAGATTTAATCTTCCATTGAATATGTATAATGATCAATGATGTAGGTAATATAGGATAGTGGTATACCCCATTAGCTCTTTGGTTGTGGAATGGAGACAATCCTTCTGTCTCTTGTCTTTCATTTACTGTCTGCGTTTGATTTATTTCTAAGCAGGTATATCTTGGTTTAAAGCTACTTAATATTTACCTGCTGGTTCCAGTTTAAAATAAAAACACCACAATATCCTAATAGCAAAGATCGTTCGTTGTTAAACCTGCAAGTTTATGGAAACAGCCTAAGCTGTTTTTTTTTATAAACACAATTGAAAACAGTTTAACACCGTTAAGAGGATGACTTGTACAACAAAAATCAATATTTATTTCATACAGTATATAAAAAAAATGTAATCAAACAACTTTTAGAGAACGTTCTAACAACACAAAAAACGGCCATCGGGCTGCTTTAATCTTCAACAAGCCTTAGAATTAAAACATGTATCGAAATTGGGCGTAGAAATAAAGCAGATAAAGACGTGAACGAAACTTACTGGATTTCCACTTTGAATACTGTTCATCCCAAGGTGAATAGCCTTGATTCCGCATATTCTGCTAGATTAGGTTATTTTGTTTTCATTATTTCTATGTATTTCTACACGAAACATTTCCAGCTTTATTTTATGTTTTATTTCTTATTGTTTTCCTTACTGATTTTGTATGATGTTTTAGCAGTAATTGTTTTTTGTTATTCACATTTCATTTAATTAACAATAAGTTTCTAATCTTTATTTAATGTTTGTATTCTGAACATCTCTTTAGTTTTACTAATTATTATGCTTTCCATCCTTCTCTTTTCCTCTTATTCCTATCTTTTCCTACGCCGGAAATCAGTCACACTAACGCTATTATCCCTGGAAGCCAACCTAAACACTTCCGTGTTATCATAGTGAGTTGCTATAGGAACCCATGACGTCATTGAAGATCACTTCATTAACATTCACACCTTGCACTGTCTGCTTATACCTAATTCACCCCTGAAGATCTACGTTCCGAAAGCGTTTGGTTTATCTTAGTGTGTTCTGATCTCCAAACAAATTTGTTGGTGAGCTTGGTACTTTTTTCTCGAGAGAATTTAAATTATATACATATTTATACGTAGAATTAACTAGACATTATTTTACAATGATAATTTGCAAGAAAAGCTATACCATACCGTGAAGAAAATGTCACGTTAATCCGATATAGTTTCTACAACGATGTAAACTATATCTTACCTTGAAAAAGATATCGCGTTAACTAGGTGTGATTTCTTCAACGCTTCTTTAGAATTTGGTATTTTCAACATAAATGGCATCTTTACGACACATGAGTTAAATGGCTAAGTTTCCTAAGGTTCAAACATAGTCATTCCTAAGTATAGAACTATTAGTCACAACTGGTCAGCAGCATCCGCCACCTATGCGCTTACTCTTATCCGTCAACACTGTCGCAGTTAAAATACTCCAAGTACGGAGCATGCTCAGCGGTATATTATAGCTCGATCTTGGACCTGATAATCCACAGCTCAGCACGCTAGCCATAAGAAATTAATGAAAACTATACAAACTCGTATATCTTTATATATTTTTCATTTTTTTAAGATGAAACTTCGAGCTGCTAGCGCTCTTCATCAGTTCGTACAGCTTTACTCTCTGACGAAGAATGCTAGCTTGAAACGTCATATTATAGATATAAAAAAACTTGATGATTTTATATCCTATTTATTCATTTCTCTGTAGCCTAAGCTAACCATTAGGCAATATACCTGTCACAATGATATTTGAGTACATAAGTTATACCTTCATGCCCTAAAGAAAATATCGAGTTAGCTAGGATATAATTTTGGAACAGAATGCCGCGTTAAATTGTACATAGCTAGTATGGTGTTTCTTAAATACATATAAGATGAAATAAACAAAATTTAGCATTAACGAGATAGAGTATAATTTCTTACAAAATCTGCTCTACAACCTGATATCTTGTGTTTTAATGTATAATCGATTTTCTCAGCTTATTACTTCATTTCGGCTCAGTTCATACGTGAAGTGCTACAATGAACCATGAGAGGAGAGATTTGAAGTCTGATTTCATTAAGTAAATTCATCAGCAGTAAATCTGAAATCTTATAACGCTAAAAACCGGGTTTTGATACCCGTGGCGGTATCAATAATAACTCATTATGTAGTTTTGTGTTTAACAACAACCAAATCATTATGTAGTTTTGTGTTTAACAACAACCAAATCATTATGTCGAAAGTGCCCAAACTAATTTCTCAACCTTCACTGAATTATCACCAAGAACTTTCACGGATATCCAAAATATATAAATAAAAGGATATTCGAAACCACTGAGAAGATTAATTCGTAATAAAAAAAATTACTACAAAACAAACACGTGTATGATTACATTTAATTTCACGCATGTCTAAAATAAAACATTAAAATGATATTCAAAACCATTAAGAAGATTACTACAAACCAAACACGTATATGATTACTTTTACTTTTACGAATATCTAAAATAAAGGAATAAAACAATATTGTATTTGTAATGATATCCAAAACCACTGAGAAGATTGCTACAAACCAAATACGTATATGATTACTTTTACTTCAGAAAAAAGAAGTTCAATACATATATACACATCCCATGAGGCCAAGAAAGCGATATGACTTCTTCGTATCTGATAAAAGAAGTCCGAAGAATAACAATGTAAAATACCTGTAATGAAAAAGAGATTAAACTAATAAGACATTATATGAAAGAGGGAAAATTGAAATAGGATATAACTACTTCATGTAAACTAATAACTCTAAATCAGTAATATAAAGACTCCAAGTTGAATTAAGGTAGGTTTGAAAGCAACGATAAAAATAGCGTTAAGTCTTTTAGACGTAAAGAAATTAAACACAGGGGTGTTTCAACTATTCTGTTACATCAACAAACTGCCATATTCTACAATTAAAGTAATGAATAAAAACCCTATAACTGCCTCTGAAGAAGAAAGATCCACCTTTCGAAAGCGCCCGGGTTGTAGGGTTTTTATTCATTTCTATCAAGACTTCTTGAATCTAAGTGTTTTTCTACAATTAGAGCAAATACACTTTTTATTGCACAAAATTGTATTTTTTGTTTATTTAAAGGTATTAAATCTAATAAATCATATTTGTTTTTCCTTCTGTGAAGAGTTATACACCATATTTTAAATATTTATGATCGATGAAAGCGATTACATGGGCATCCTATTTCCCAAAACCCGAAGTGAAATTGAACTCGAGATCCTTCATATGCCAAGCGAGTGCTGTGCCATTCGAACTAGAGTTAAGCTAGTAGACAATACGAGTGATTTACTTTTTTAGTAGGTCAAACTGTCACATTATTTCTCTGTCTTAATAAGGTCCGTCCTTGGGTTTTTTATCTGAGGGTCGCGGGAGAGTCATTAGTTGGGCGTCAATGTTTCTTGTGACATCCCAAGTTTGCACACTCTAGATTTGGAATCAAACGTGAGACCTCTCGCACTCCATTACGAATGTTACACCAACTGAACTTAACTTCTATTAGCTACTGCTTGTGAGACACTATTTTAACAACTATCAAACTACTACACTGTTAAGTTCAAACTCGCATTTGATACCAAATCGAGAAATGCAGCCCACACGCTAAGCCTGTTTACAAATTTGGCCAAGCTGTTTGCAGTGCATTCTTTGTTTAAAAGATGAAAAAAGTAAATAAAAAAACAATAAATATAACTATAGCTAAGGACACTTAAACAATACAAAACCATACGCAAAATTCTGCTAGCTATGTTTAAAAATAAACCATGCCAAAATTAAAATTAAGTACAAATAAGAGACAGCCAAGAGTTTTAAAGATTAACTGTATATCATTCACGTGTCATAAAATAATGTAGTGAATATTTTACAAAGTGTTTGAGACTAAGATATAAAGATCATAATATACAGTTAGAGAGCGGACCAAGTATAAGATAAAGTGATACCTGAAATATTTTTATTAAAAATAAAACACGAAAAATTCACTTATTTAGGCTTAACCCCTTCAAATATTCACACGTCCGAAAGTTCCTGAATGAAACAAATGACAAACCTACAAGTTCAGATTCAGCGTTATATGCAGATAATATTCTGGTGTAAAGATGTGTTGATCTTCACAAAAACACTGAGTTAACACATACGATAATATTTATTAGCCTAAATCACTGTGTTTGTCTTCAAACAAATCTGACATTATGTGCTTCAGTTTTTAAACGCACTGTTGCGTATCTGCTCGTTTGTTAATTTCTGGTATAAATTCTTTCCGAGGAACTTCAATGATACAAGTCCTTTCTTAACTAAAACTAGTTTATTCTTTCTCGATACAACTTTATAATACACAGAATTTCCACAGTCAGTTTAACTTAACTACTTTTATAAAAACACGCTATAATTCACACACTTTTCTTGCGGCTTGACTCGATTATCTCTATTTTCAATCTCTCTATCTATCGAATTCTCATCTCGCTTTATTTGCCGAGCTTACATATACTAAAAAGGAGGGCGGCTGGAACAGACTAGAGTTGCCAGGAAAGTTCATGATCCTTCGAGAATCTCATCACGCGTTACCAGAATCACGTGACTTCCGCTGTCGTAACAGTACGGTTCTTTGCGAACCATATGTTTAACACAAACACATACACTAAAAATACAAGAAGTGGCAACAACTCATGCTTTATTCCCCTTCATCAATGTTTCATTTTCGCGTTGGTTTCAAGAAAATAATAATTAATCTGGCCTAAGAAAACAACAGAATTTGAATTTCTTCTTTCAAGAAAGATGTCAGAGAATTAGCTTCTTCCATTGTTAGTATAGGGTTCAGTTTTTGTTTTATTCCAAACTAAGATTAATTCTTTTTTTTTTCAATTGTATTTTACATTTGATGATGCAGAGTTAACTGAGTGAAGGGTTTCTTTTTTTTTTCTAATCAAAACAAAAGTTATCTTAAAGTTAAACACAAAAAATACAAAAATGCTGCCACTTACCAGTTCAGTATAGTTTCGTTCTTATACTCGGATGGCCCTGTGTCTGTCTGAGGAAGTACAGGTTGTTCAAAATACTATAAAGTTTGAAATTAATAATTTCTTATCACCCTTGACCAAGAAAATTCTAAGGAAGTTTGAAGGAAGAAAATTATGTTGAATTGTGAACTCTTTTGCTTCTGCTTCTCTTACTGATCGTGTATAAGCAAAATTCGATAATTAGACACAGTTTACTAGAGCAAACTAAAGACTGAGATGCAATTAACAAGTTTTCGTTTACAAGACACCACTAATGTGCTCATGTGCCTCTTCCGATTTACGAACGTACGATTAAGATTTGAGGGCACAGACACTGGATATATTGACGAGCCCACCTCTTTTCACTACTTTATCTTCCTTATACGAGATAGCGAAAACAAAGACTCTCCTGCTCTAGTTTCTATGTCGTTTGTCAGGCGATACTAACATCACTTATGGGGGATAACATGCTACTGTGAAGGGATGAAAAAACAGAAACCAATCATCAGTTTTATAACCTTGAAGTAGCTCATTGCATTTCCCACATAAAACTTATAATAAACTTCTTATAGGTATTTAATAGTAAATAAGAACTAAAATCGTTTATAAGTTATTTAATGATTTTTTTGTTATGTACAAATCAAGCTTATGAAGTTCTTTAGGGTCTACCAGCACAGAAAGAGGAATATCTGAACACGTATATATCAAGATTGTAAAGAAATTCAAATGATACAATTTTCTTTAAAAAAGAAAAGTTAGTCATAAAGGTAAAGATAAAAACAAATGTAAATGCTAGCTTTAGAAATGATTTAGACAGAATAGATTGTACTGGATGTGACTGATGGTATTAACGTAGAGTGTAGGAGAGGACAATGTTTCAGTCACTGCGCTGAGACCGAAAAGCCATCCACTCATACGATCGAGGGAGTGGCAGCCAATAATAACTTCAAATATAATATCTACGTTCTTAAAAATCACGCACTAATTGATTTGGTTTTTGCTAACAGCAAGCAAGCTTTGGGATTTTAAATGTTGATCGAAATCTACACACCTTAACTTTACGTTTTCTGCGTACTTTGCTGTCGTAACACAAATTTTTCAAAGAATTATTGCAGAAGTGGTATTTTGTATAAGTAATACTGAATGAAAACTTACTATATTTGGTTACTGAGGTCCAAGTTGATGTGGTGAGGGACATAGTTAATGCTCACAGTTCAAATTTGTATACAGTAAATAAAGTACCCACTGGAAAGTACATTTTCTCGTCTTCCACCATATATATATTATCACTGGAAACTGCATTTTCTCGTCTTCCACCGTATATATAGTATCACTGGAAACTACATTTTCTCGTCTTCCACCTTATATATATTATCACTGGAAACTACATTTTCTCGTCTTCCACCATATATATATATTGTCACTGGAAACTACATTTTCTCGTCTTTCACCGTATATATATTATCACTGGAAACTGCATTTTCTCGTCTTCCACCTTATATATATTATCACTTGAAACTGCATTTTCTCGTCTTCCACCATATATATATTATCACTGGAAACTACATTTTCTCGTCTTCCACCTTATATATATTATTACTGGAAACTACATTTTCTCGTCTTCCACCATATATATATTATCACTGGAAACTACATTTTCTCGTCTTCCACCACATATATATATTATCACTGGAAACTACATTTTCTCGTCTTCCACCTTATATATATTATCACTGGAAACTACATTTTCTCGTCTTCCACCATATATATATTATCACTGGAAACTACATTTTCTCGTCTTCCACCGTATATATAGTATCACTGGAAACTACACTTTCTCGTCTTCCACCGTATATATAATATCACTGGAAACTACATTTTCTCGTCTTCCACCGTATATGTATTATCACTGGAAACTACATTTTCTCGTCTTCCACCGTATATGTATTATCACTGGAAACTACATTTTCTCGTCTTCCACCATATATATATTATCAATGGAAACTACATTTTCTCTTCTTTCACCATATATATATTATCACTGTCGTGACATCAGTGAAACGTGTGCATGTCATGAATCACGAGAAGAATTGTGCACACTATAGGCAGGCTACAACACAACATGACATATGAACTTCAAAAGCAATAAATAAAATATTTGTTACTCTTAATTTTGGTTATATTTACACTTAAATAGTGTGTTTGTTTGAAGTTAAGCACAAAGAAACACAATGGGCTATCTGTGCTCTGCCCACCACGGGTATCGAAACCCGGATTCTAGCGTTGTAAGTCCACAGACATACCGATGTGCCACTGAGGGCAATTAAATATTATTTCTTATACAGACAAAACAGAAATAAAAATAGACCTATGCTCTTCTTCTGTTGTAGAAAGCAATTTACACGCTTTTAGACTTCATATACAAACGTTTCAATATATTGGCCCCGCATGGCCAGATGGTTAGGGCGCTCGACTCGCAATCTGAGGGTAGCGGGTTAGAATTCCCGACCCACGAAACATGCTCGCCCTTTCAGCCGTGGGGGCATTATAATGTGACGGTCAATCCCACTATTCGTTGGTAAAAGAGTAGCCCAAGAGTTGGCGGTGGGTGGTGATGACTAGCTGCCTTCCCTCTAGTCTTACACTGCTAAATTAGGGACGGCTAGGGCAGATAGCCCTCGTGTAGCTTTGCGCGAAATTCAAAAACACACAAAAACAAACAAATCCAATGTATTAATGTGAATATAGTTTGGTTTATGGTTCTGTCGTGTAAGACAGCTAAAGCTATTTGTACTAATCAAGATTTAAACTAAACAATGTAAAATTTAAAAAGCAGCTATTTGTATCAAAGAACTAAAACAAACAACACGAGTAAATTGAAGACTTAAAAATGATAAAAGAGCTTAAATTGCGTTATAAAATTCGAGTTATTCATCCTTCATTCCCATTTCAATAGATGTGGTATCTTCAAGTGAGGTGTATTGGACTTCAAACACTGGCCGATGGACAGTACACCTATGGGAATAGTAATTAGAATGACATGATAATGCTGTCTATGAGACTTAAGAGTGTCGTGGAAAACAGACCTAACTCATCTGACATTGTTTGGAGAAATAGACTGAAAAGTGAAGTTTCTGCCCATCTCTTTGTAAAAAGCATAACCAACAATCACTTTCCAAGTAGTGATTTTAAAGAGTTCCAAGACTACACTTTGGGCAGGTCTCACTCACCAATTAACTGCATGTTGGTAGAGAAATAGGTTTTGGGATAACTTTGTTCATTGACGGATCCTCGGGAGCTGAAAAGATCTTCATATATGGGATCGCTCAGATGGCGATACTCAAGTTGGTATAATACACAGCTGAAACATAACCTTGTTTCAGTACTGGTGTTACTAATTTGCCAAAGTGATAGTATTAAGCCTTTAGATAAATTACACCTCCTTTTATTCTTCTATTTATGACATAATCATGAATAGAAAGGATTCGAGTCTTTAAGGTGGCACATAGTGGCTTACAGGAAAGAGATCCAAAACAGGAACCTATGGAACACCCAAATTGTTAGTAGATGTAACATATAGTAGATTGAGAACACATGACTGTGTAAAACAATTCAAATATCCAACAGTAATATTTCCTTCCAGATGTTAACAAGAATGATCACTACGTGGATGGATGTTTGTATCTAAAAGGAGCTCAGTGGCACAATCAGAATATTTCCTAGGAGGTCTCTTTAACGTGAACAGGAATCCACATCGAAGGGATTTATGTGAAACCCAGGAGAGGAAGTAAAGATATTATAGTATATTGAAACAGAGAGGCAGTTACTTTGCTAGGTGAGAAACCAGTAGGTGATTCAGGGTACAATTAACAAAGAGCTTTGTAGTTTGGTGAAGGGTGAATAAAAAGCACGAAAGGAAGCAGGTAAAACCCTGTTTAGTAAAGTAGAAACAATAGCAACAACAAACAAACAATAACAAAATAAATATATCGCAGGAAAATCAAATTGTAAATAATATGTTAATCACAAAATAAGGTTTAACATGTTTTGTATTGTTCATTGTTCAGATTAAAAAAGTACAGACGTTTTTAGTGTCCCTATATCGTTCGCACACTTAATCAAAGTTACATATAGAATGTCTTATATATATATTTTATTTACAATTATTAGCAATACAAGCTGAAGCACCCACCTTATGTTATTGCCAAACCTTGCCCTAGTGTATGGCACATATATATTCTCCATATGATGCCTGTAGGAGGCATCATTGACGTTTCCCTGGAGGATAGGAAGATCAGTTTTTTCCACCATGATGAATATCTGCCCAAATATCTACTGCACTACCTCCCATGTGTTCCCTGTTGGAAAGACAGTCTTTCATCATCTGTTCTCCAAGCAAACGACGAACACGAATCCTGCCTTCAACTTTCACAAGCGAGAAACAGGACTCATCTGAAAATATGACATATCGCTAGTGTCCTAACTGTAAGTTAGCATTCTGTCTTGCCCAACTAACACGGTGACGGCGGTGAATTCTGGTTAATATCGATTTGCAGATATCCCTTCTTGCAAAATAACCTTGTTTGGTTTGTCTCCTATTCACTGTTATTCTGGATACTCTGGAATGAATGTGTTCATGCCATTCCTTTTGTAAGGTGTTGCAAGACTTCTTTTAACCTTGACATGTTAACATGATCAAAACATGGTCATCACGGGCAGTTTACAAGTAGACTTTCCTGGAACAAAGTTTCCTGTAGTCCGAGACGTTTCAGGATTCTGGATACAGTACAATGTGGGTACCCTACTGTTCTGGTAATGTACGTTTGCTTCATACCATTTCTGGACAGTCGAACAATTTGACGCCCTATAACTTCTAACACGTGATGAGGCATGACTCTACACCAAGTGCAGAGAAATAGTCTGAACAAAGTTTTGATCTGTTTCGATAAAGACTATACCAAAAGTACACAATTTTATACAAAACAGGTGTGTATGTGTGTTTTGACGAATAAATGCTCAAAACAACTTATACAGATCAGAATAACAACTTGTTCATGTTTGTCCGTTCATACGCTACCTACTCAATAACTACTCCATGCCAACAACACCAATATAGAACAGTATGCAAACATTTTGGCTAACGCTATAGTTAGAAGCTATAATATGTACGGACAATATATTATTATAACACCAGCATTTAAATATATCTGGTCTGAAATATTACAAAATCGGCACATGTCAGTCAATAACATGCACACACATATAGAGAGGAGACTGAGAGAAGCTGAAAATCTTCAAACATATATATATCGATTACCCTCTCGGTCTTTAGAGCGCAGCTTGTAACATTGGAAAGGAGTAAGTACACAACAGCAAGAACTTGCCATAGTAGGAAAGAAAATCAACAACTCTAGAAAGCGAATTATAAAATGTGTCACGAAAATGTAAATAAGCTGATTGTGAAAATATTGGAGTTGTTTGAAAATATATTCGTGCACAATGGATACAATATTTTCATGGACTACAAAACACCGCATATACCTCACAGCTAAGTCAGTACGAAATTGATTATTTAGCATATCGTGCGCGTTAGGCCTCGACGATCACGTTTACATATTAGTGCGTTATTGCTGCCCCCCTGTGGAACAGCGGTATTTCTGAGGACTTACAATGATAAAAACCGGGTTTCGATACCCGTGGTGGGCAGAGCATTGTGTAGCTTTGGGCTGAAAGGGCGAGCATGTTTGGTGTGACGGGGATTCGAACCCGCGACCCGCAGAATGCGAGTCGAGCGCCCTAACCACCTGGCCATGCCAGGCCAGAGATATCTGAAAAGCGCAATTAAAATTTGGCATCATAAGTTTGTTGAAAAGTCTGTTTTGATCAGAAAAATGACGAGTAGGAGTTTTATAAATCCAATATCTGAATAGCGCAAGTAAAATTTGGCATCATATGTTTGTTGAAATGTCTGCATTGATCAGAAAAATGGCGGGTAAGAGTTTTATAAATCCAACATAGATATCTGAATATGACGTAACCATCATTATTGTTGGTAAACAAATATCCACATTTAAAGGTACTTCATAGTTATAATGCGAGTGGAAATAAAATGTGTTAATGATTTATTTAAATTGATGTCTTGTGTCATCGAACGAACTGTCTTCTTCGACGAAAATATTATGATGAGAATTTCTACACGCTTGCGTTTGTTGTCATTAGGCCTGTGTTCTTTTTGCTTTATTTTACATTTCCCACACTACTCTGTTCTACATCTAATATTTTGAAATTGTTTTCATTTCTGTTAGGACCATTGTCGCCAGTGTATTACCCATAAAATTCAGGATTTATAACGCTAGATATTGAAATTCGATCACCGCGGCCGCCAGAGCGGAGATATCCCGTTGTACAGCATTGCACTAAAATAAACAAACATAAAAATAATGAGGTTCTGAATAAGAATGAGTAAAACTAAGAGCTCAAAGAGTATGAAATAAATATCAGAATCTGTATGATCAGCACAAGGACAAAAACAAATACAGATATGAGAACCCCAGCTAATTCAGGACCAACAAAACTGTATGTACGTAATAATCATGTAATATCAGAATCTGTATGTTTAGCACAAGGACAAAAACAAATACAGATATGAGAACCCCAGCTAATTCAGGACCAACAAAACTGTATATACGTAATAATCATGTAATATCACAATCTGTATGATCAGCACAAGGACAAAAAACAAATACGTTAATGAGAACCCTCGCAAATTCAGGACCAACAAAACTGTATGTACGTAATAATCATGTAATATCACAATCTGTATGATCAGCACAAGGACAAAAAACAAATACGTTAATGAGAACCCTCGCAAATTCAGGACCAACAAAACTGTATGTACGTAATAATCATGTAATATCAGAATCTGTATGATCAGCACAAGGACAAAAACAAATACATATATGAAAGCCCCAGCTAATTCAGGACCAACAAAACTGTATGTACGTAATAATCATGTACTATCAGAATCTGTATGATCAGCACAAGGACAAAAACAAATACATATATGAAAGCCCCAGCTAATTCAGGACCAACAAAACTGTATGTACGTAATAATCATGTAATATGAGCTTCAAGCATCCAAACAATTGCATTATTAAATAGGAAATACGTAACAGTTTGCAAGTAAAGTTTACTAGTAAATTTGACCTCTGAACTTGCTCTTGACGTCATCGGTTTTTCATGGTTTTCAAACGCTATGGAGTCTATGTATAGTATAACAACCAAGTACGATCGAACGCTTTAGAAACCCCCTCCATATTACTGCAGGGGGAGGAGTAAAACGTTGTTTATAAAATTTAAGTTTAACTTCTATTTAATCAATTATTCTTACCCTTCACTGCTGAAACGTTACTCGACTCTTGTTGAGACTTAGTAAGAAGGATGACTTGTCAAGTTCCAGTAAACCGCTATGAATTCATCTAGTGATCTATTGTTCTTCGAAATAAGGCCCAATGTGTGTTGAACATGCTGTGAGGGAAAGTTGGTGAGAAAGTTGAATGGAAGGAAACGAACGACATCTGTTTAATGCTCGTAAGCGTCGTATAGTGAACAAAGTAAATAACTTTGATAGAGTACTTTGTCTTTTGTTAGATTAACAAACTGGTGTGTGGGAAGATCAATAAATCTATCTAAAGTTGCAATCCATTTATTGTTGTTGTTTTTTTTCCGATTCGGTTTCTCTTAGTGTATTTTTTTGTATTTCTTCCGATTCGGTTTCTCTTATTGTATCTAAGACTGCACTTTTAACATTAAAATATAAGGTTTTAAATTTTGTTTTTATCACTGAATGTTCTTCAATTGAAACAAAAACTCGAAGAAAGATCTGGTTTGCCTCGGCGCGTCAATATTTATAAAAGTTCATACTTTTGTTTGCTTTAAAATATTTGTTGGATATCCTGTCAAGAAAATATACGTTTGTCTAAAGTACAGTTTATAACAAACATCACGGTGACTTAAAATACTATTCCTTCAAAGAATAACTGGAGTTGAAAGTAAAGTATAATGCATTATTTCATATCGTTGCTAGTTCTAGTTATAAGGTTCACCAAATTTATATATGTTTCTACTTCATTAAGCTTGTTATGTTTTGTGTGAGGATTATATCTTTAAGAATAATCAATATCTAAACTTCTATTTTACTTGCATCGTTAATAACTGCTTTGGAACTTTTTAAATATATTATTACCCTGTTTGTCATTCATCTGATGTCATGATTTCTGAAAATTGTCAATACTCAGTGAGGCTTAAAAACATCTAGCATCCGGATGTGTACTAGTTGTTAGCATGCTAGGACTGGGAATCCGAGAACTCATGGTTCACATCACGTTGAAACAAAACACGTGCTATAGAAGTGAAGAACAAATCTTTCTATTCGGTTAGACAAGGATAACCCAAGAGTTGGGGGGAGGGGGTGCGCTGCTGACTAGATGTCTCTCTTTGGGCTATCATTTCATAATTAAGGATGGTTATCTAACTCTAGCATTTGTGTAGCCTTCCACGACAATTTTAAACAAACAGAACTAAAAGCATTTAATACCAGCAGTTTTTATGTATGATTTGAATTCTGTAATTATTATACCATTATATCACTTTGTTTCTATCTATTTTAGGCCAGAAAAATACATAAAGTACAAAACTCAGAAATCATTTCTGATCAAATAGATGAGCTACTACAACAATCCAGATTTTCAGGTTACGTTTGATACTGAAATAAGGGAATCCAAAAATGGTTCCTGAAACAGTAATCGCTACCTGGAAAACTCGGTTTGTACACTTAATTCTATTATACCACAATTACACCTCAAAATAGATACAACAGTGAAGATTATTTTACTAACAAGTTACACTTGAATACATTAGCAGGACTAATTTGATGTAAAAAACAAAGAACAACATATGAACGCCGGAATACGAAGCTGAACCTCTAAATTGACAATTTTACTGGATACAATGTAGAAACAAGAAATACAGAGTTTACATCGAAAATTAGCTTTTCAACCCACGTCAAGACATGGTAACGTATAAAGACAGGATCGTAGTGACATTACTATCCCACAATAATCCCAAAGCATATTGTTATAGACCGAACAAAGAAGGAAAATGGCATGTATGTAATATTATATTATAACTAAATAATTCCAAAACAAATTGTTATGGACATAACATAAAAAATACAGATTCTATTTGTAACATTCCTATACCACAATAATCCAAAACGAAATTGTTATACAGAACAGAGAAGAACGACAACATCTGTGTGGCATTACTATGACGCAATATTCCCAAATCAAACTGCTGTAAAGAAAATTGAAAGTAGAGATAGCATCTGAGGGGCATTATTATGCCTTAATTGTCCGAAACAAATTGTTATTGAAAAA